CATAATGTAAGACGCCTTCTTGCCAGCAGACTCACTTTCACCACTCTGCTGGCCTTGAAGAAGCAAACTGCCATGTCGTGAATGGCCTCTGGGAAGGACTACAGCAGAGGACTGCATGCAGCTTCTAGGAGCTGAGAGGAGCCTCCAGCCTCAACAATACAAACAGACAATAGCAAAACAATAACAACGGAGGAGGATCAAGATGGCGGACGAGAAACACCGCCAGAAAGAGTGTCTCTGCAGAAAAGACAGATTCTAGCAGAAATTAGAAAAAAGAAGCAAGAAGGCGAGCATACAGCAGACGAGGGCTGGAAGGAGGGGTACCTGAGACCCTGGGAGACTCCACGGGAGGAGGCTTCGGAGCAGAACTGGAAGCTAAGACTGCCGTAGCAGCCCGGAGACCAGCGGGAAGGGTAGGTGGATAAATCACCTTTCCCCTCCCCTGCATTTGGGACTGCTGGTGGGCTCCCCAGCGGGTGGAGAGTCCTTTGGACACCAGCCCAGAGACAGCCGCCGCCAGCTAGCGGTGTGCCTGTAGCGGACATGGCACCAGACTCCCAAATCCCTGTGCACCTCCGTGTGCACAGACCCGAGCCCGCGTGGCAGGCGCCATATTGCCTCCTTCTCCCCTCCGCCGACCCTACCTGCGGCTGCCCAGAGAGACAATACAGCCACCAGCTGGAGGCACCTCGAGGGAATGGGACCTTCCCTTTTGGGACCCTACAGCTGACTAAGGGGAACTCAGACTGTGAGCTCCCTACCTGCCAGCCCTCCCAGGTGCTGCTGGCACGGTGTTCCCAGGAGAACGGTGCTGACTCAGAGGCTGAGAGACACAGACACAGCTTGGGCTCCCTGTGGGTGAATTGGGACCGGAACTCCTCTCCCTGGTGGGGATACAGTTTGAACTCTGGGACCCAGAGGTCGGACCTGCAGACCAGATCCCGTGCTCCGAGGTCTAGCATTGCCTGGGGCACAGAGGGATATTTGTGAACAGCCTGCGGAGGTGTGTGTGCCTCCAGGGGCAGATCAGCGTCCTAGAGGGCAACCCTCCCACCAAAGGGAGGCCGTGTGCCCAGCCCAGGCAGCGTTTCTGTGCAGGGAACCTCCCCGCCGGCATCACAGTCCGGGGAGGCCTGGTGGCGTGTGGTCTGGCCTGCTGGCAGAGGCCCAGGAGTAGCTGCGGAGTTGGGGAGGGTGGAAAGAAGTGAGGCCTGCTCCAGACTGCGGGTCTCAGACAGCCCCACCCCCACAAGCAGACTTTCTGGCTGAGCGGGACCATTCCAGCCCTGCCCTGACAGCTTTTCCTGGAAGCAGAGAACAGAACTTTGACCCCTGCCAACGGCATTGGTGGTGCCTGAGGGCAGGCTTACCCAACCCAGCTCCACCCAGAACAAGAGCTGATAACGGGACACAAAAACAACAGCATAGCCTGTTCCTCCAAGCAAGCGCCACCTACTGACAGGGACAGCATCCTGCACAGCCTTATCACAGCATCCACTGACTCATTATACAGGGAGTGGTCGAATCTCACCCACAGACACCACCTAACGCCTCAGAAACTAAACAAGGCGTGTGAATATCCAAACAAAAACCTAAAGGAAAGAAACAACAACTGATCGACATGGGAAGAAATCAGCGAAGGAACTCAGGAAATATGAAGAACCAACGGAAAACACACCCACAAAGAGGAGCACCAAGCCCCTAGAAACGGACATCAACCCAAATCAGGCAACCAAAATGAAGAAGAAAGGAAATTCCGTATGTGAATCATAAGAACACTCACCGAGCTGCAACACAACTCAATAACAATACAAAAAACCACAAAAAGCCTCCAGGATCTGGAAAAAGAAATGGACACAATGAAGAAAGTTTAACCAAACTCCTGGAATGAGAAATCAATTCAGGGAACTACAAAATACAGTGGAAAGTCCAAGAACAGGGTAATCAAACAGAAGAAAGAATCTCAGAGCTTGAAGATAACACCCTCCAACTAAATAAAACCATGACAGAGATAGAGCAGAGAAACAAGAGAAAAGAGCAAAGCCTACAAGAGCTGTGGATTAATGTGAAGAACCCTAATGTGAGGGTCAATAGGGTTACCAGAAGGGGAAGAAGACAACACCCAAGGGTTGGACAAGCTGTTTGAAGATATAATAGAGGAAAATTTCCCAGGCCTTGCTCAAAATCTCGATATAAGTTCAAGAAGCTCAGAGGACCCCTGGGAGATTCAATGCAAACAGGAAGACGTCACGACATGCAGTCATCAGACTGACCAAAATATCAACTAAAGAGCCCCTTCTAAGAGCTGTAAGACGAAAGAAGCAAGTGACATACAAGGGAAAGCCAATTCGAATAACACCAGACTTCTCTAATGAGACTTTACAAGCAAGGAGAGACTGGGGCCTTCTCACTCTTCTGAAACAAAACAATGCCAGCCTAGAATCTTCTTCCCTGCAAAACTAAGCTTCATATATGAAGGAGAAATAAAGACATTCTCAGACAAGCAAAGTCTCAGAGAATTCACCAAGACAAGACCAGCCCTACAAGAAGTACTCAAAACAGTGCTACACACGGAACACCATAATAAAAACTCACGAATATAAAAACAACCAAAACCCAAAGATTAAAGGCCAGATAATACAATGGCTCAAGAGAGAAATCAGAGCAACAACATCCAGCCCAACAGAATGAACAGTAATCTACCTTACCTATCAGTTCTCTCAATAAATGTGAATGGCTTAAACTCTCCACTCAAGAGACATAGGCTGGCTGAATGGATAAGAAAATACAGGCCAAGTCTATGCTGTCTTCAGGAAACACATCTAACCTGCAAGGATGCATATAGACTAAAAGTAAAAAGGTGGAGATCAGTATTCCAGGCAAGTGGAAGCCAAAAGAAGGCTGGTGTGGCAGTTCTAATTTCAGACGATTTAGTTTTTAAACCAACCAAAAGTAGTGAAAGACAAAGAGGGTCGTTATATAATGGTGAAGGGCACACTTCAACAAGAAGAGATAACTTCTCTTCTCAATTTAATATTTAAAATTGTTAAATTTTAAATATATATGCACCCAACTTAGGTGCACCCATTTCATAAAGCAAACCTTACTGGATCTAAGCAAAAGGATTAATAGCAACTCCATAATCACCGGAGATTTCAACACCCTACTGACGGCACAAGACAGATTCTCCAAACAGAAAATTAACAAAGAAATAATGGACTTAAACAAAACCCTGGAACAACTGGGTCTGACTGACATCTACAGGACATTCTACCCAAAATCCACTGAATATAAGTTCTTCTCATCAGCTCACGGGACATTCTCTAAGATTGACCATATCCTAGAGATTTACACAAAGTAAATCTCAAGAAATTTAAAAAAATAGAAATCATACCATGTACCTTCTCAGATCTCAGTGGAATAAAAGTAGAAATCAACCCTAACAGAAACTCACATTTCTACACAAAAACATGGAAATTAAACAACCTCCTACTAAATGATTACTTCATAAATGAAGAAATCAAGATGAAAATAAAAAAATTCTATACTCCTACACTGCTGGTGGGACTTCAAATTAGTTCAACCTCTGTGGAAAGCAATATGGAGATACCTTAAAGCGATACAAGTGAATCTACCATTTGATCCAGCAATCCCATTACTGGGCATCTACCCAAAAGATCCAATGACACTCTACAAAAAAGACACCTGCACTCGAATGTTTATAGCAGCACAATTCATAATTGCAAGGCTGTGGAAACAGCCCAAGTGCCTCAATCCAAGAATGGATTAATAAAATGTGTATATGTATACCATGGATACTATTCAGCTCTAAGAACAATGGATACACATCTCATATTTTCCTGGTTAGAGCTTGAACCCATACATTAAGTGAAGTTTCCCAAGAATGGAAAACAAGCACCACATATACTCACCAGCAAATTGGTATTAACTGAACAGCACCTAAGTGGTCACATAGGTACTACAGTAATAGGGTATTGGGCAGGTGGGAGGGGGGCGGGTATATACATATATAATGAGTGAGATGTGCACCATCTGGGGGATGGTCATGCTGGAGACTCAGACTTGTGGGGGAGGGGGAAATGGGCATTTATTGAAACCTTAAAATCTGTACCCCCCATAATATGCTGAAATAAAAAAAAAATTTTTTTACCTTATAAAGGATGTGGACAGTGCAAGAATTTTAACCAAGGGAGAAATGTAGTCACATTTTCATTTGTAGGAATTACTATGTACCAAACACACATTGTGCTAGGCACTGATGAATAAAATCAACCAGACAGGTTCTGCACCTTTGGGAAGCTCACAATATAGGGGGAGAGGCAGTCATAGAAACAAATTACAATACCGTACATGTTAATAAAGAAACAAGGACCAGGTGCAGTGACTCACGCCTATAATCCTAGCACTCTGAGAGGCCAAGATGGGAGGATTCCTCAAAGTCAGGAGTTTGAAACCAGCCTGAGCAAGAGTGAGACCCCGCCTCTACTAAAAATAGAAAGAAATTAATTGGCCAACTAAAAATACATAGTTAAAAAAATTAGCTGGGCGTAGTGGCTCATACCTGTAGTCCCAGCTACTCGGGAGGCTGAGGCAGTAAATTGCTTGAGCCCAGGAGTTTGAGGTTGCCGTGAGCTAAGCGGACACCACGGCACTCTAGCCCAGGCAATAGAGTGAGACTGTCTCAAAAAAGAAAAAAAACAAACAAAGTTTATGAGGGCAGATAGCTTACTTTGAGAGTGAGGTTTGACTTTTGTGTAACTTTTTGATTAGTTCCACTCAGCATCTCTAAGCATTCTCAGGCTTACATTATAAGCAAACATCTAGATCCCTTGGGAGCTTTGTTAACATGGGATAGCATGTACAAGCTTGATTTAGTACTAATTTGCCTCCTTTCTGGACTGAGTCCCCTCCACCTCTTTGTTTCAACATAGCACGTCATTCAGTTTGAAAGCCAGCTATTTCTCTTTCCTTCCCTATAGGTGTAGAAAATATCCAGGTAGTGGCTGCAGTTCCACCTCTTGTTTGGTTGCCATGCATCCTGGGCGAACTACTGGTAAAGGGCCCTCCACTCCCATGCATTTCGACCAGCAACCTCCACGGCTTCTCATCGTGCACATTGCTCTGCCGTCCTGGGCTGATATCTGCTCCAACCTCTGTGAGGCCCTGCAGAACTTTTTCTCTCTAGCCTGCAGCTTGATGGGCCCCAGCCGTATGTCCGTGTTCAGCTTATACATGGTACAAAATCAGCACGAGTGCATCCTCCCTTTTGTGGTGAGTATATCTATATCTATTCATTTTATCCTAAAAGCAAATATAGTATAAGATTTCTTCTAAAACAGAGATCACAGTACTTATTACTTACAGCAATAATTGTACTAGTTCCCCACAGCCAATATCCCACAGATGACACCATGAGAGCCAGATGTCACCCTGCATAGATGGGGGCTTGTATTGTAGAAGAAACACCCCAAAATTATTAATCTGGGAGTTTAAATAGGCTACAGACTACCCACCCCCAAGCTCCTGAGAATGGGAGAGAAACTTTGGTGTTAACAGTTCCTTGAAATGTAAAAAACTGACTCTTCTCACCCCTTTTTAAATGTAAACACATAAGAAAGTAAGTTCTAAATCTCTTCAGAGGTCTCTGGCTATTTGATTGATCATCCTAAAACTTCCAAGACTTGTTCTTTCACCCAAGTACCAGTTTTCTTTGCTCAGAAAGCCCTATTTGTGTAAAAACATGAAATTATTTTCTCTACATCCCACATGGGACTCAGGTGAGACTCCCTCTAAGATTTTAGAAGGCAATAGCTGGTCTGCAGGCAATGTTTTTACAAAGCTCCCCTTTTTTTCTCCATTATGTAAAATTCAGAATCTTAGGGATGAGAAAGGCTTCCAGAGGTTCTAGGCATCTCTTATATTGAGGCAGCTTTGCTGCTAATATATCTTATTAACTGGATATAAATCTTATTATTTAAGATTTCTGAAAGAGGAAATTTCACAAATCCATTACTAAATTATTAATGTAATATCTGACTAGAATCTACTCCTTTTTAATTAATGCCTCAGTTTCCCTCATTGAAAGTGTAAAAACCAGGAAGAACCTCCTAGGCAACAGCGCAGGCAACAAGGACCCTTGTTTCCACAGCAGGAGAGCACGCAGATGGCTAGATGGGTCTCAGTTCCCCATGAGTGAGCACGGTGGTAACTGGAAGGGCCCCTCAGATTCCCAGAACAAGGATTATACAGAGGTTGAAAGGCTACCGAGTCCATAGTTCATGGGTAGGCCCATGACTAGAAAGGACCCCAGGGAATCAGTGTGGAGCTAATAGGGCTCAAGGTTCCACAGAACAGGGTGGGGGGCTAGGCTGGTGGGCGGAAGGGACCTTGGGGCATCAGTGCCTGGGAAAAATAGTGGCTGAAAGGGCAACAAGGTCTGAATGTATGGGCTGGCCAATGGCTGGAAGGGACCCTGAGGCACTAGTCTGCAGGAGGATAGATGATTGCTGTTAGGGCTCAAGATTCCATACCACACAGGTAGGTTGGTGACTGGAAGGAAAGACTGGGCACCCTCACGTGAGAAGGATGGTTGCCCAAGTCTGTCTGTTCCCTAGCACATAGCCAGGCCAGTGGTAGGAAGCTGAAACAGCTCTGGTCCCCCAGCCTGGGATGGAAGGTGGCTGGAAAGGCCCAAGTTTTCCCAGCAGGCAGACAGGCTGGTGACTAGAAGGTTGGTGTCCAGAAAAAAAAAGTCTGGAAATTAGTATGGAAATACTTCAAAAGGGACTTTTGGGACAGGGGAAGGAGGACATTTGCACTAGGGATATGCTCAAACCCTAAGTAAGAAACATCTCAGGGAAGAAGTAAATGAGCAAAGCTTTTATATGCAAAGGCCATGGGATAGGTGGCTGTGGAAGGAAGAAGTGGGTTTAGATAAAACTGCTAGCCAGAGGGCTTAAAATTGCACTTTATCAAATATTGCAATGAGGTGAAGGTTGATGCAAGAAGTGTTTATTTGTGTTAAGCACATGAAGCAGAGGTTTGGGAGTGAAATGAGCAAACAAGTAATAGTGTAGAAGGTTCCCATAAAAATTAGGATCTACCTGTCCTAGTCAGGCCAGTCTAAAGTTATGTAAAGTACAAAGTTTGATCAATCTTGTTAGTCTCTTCTCGTGTTCAAGACCGACTCTGCAAGAGACTGTCCTTGAAAAACTTAGAGATAAAGGGATCTTGGATAGGGAATGCCTAAGTGAAATAGTCTTCATGGTCAGTGTTTTCTCAGTGTTGTTCCTATAGGGCTGGTTGAACTATCTGTTAGGCCAACATGCGGAGCTCAGTTTATTTTAGGTTCCTACAGTGAGGCATCTTAAAAGAGTGATGCCCAAAGTGAAAAAGATAAATGTTATTATGAAAGGTTCTGTAAAAATAAAGAGCTAAGAGTTGAGCCCTAATGATATCCAGTCCAGCAAATTCCAAGAGGTCCATGAATGATAGTCTTTCACTTATGCAGAATTGCTCATTGAAAGTTTGATGCTCTTGGTGGTGTCATCCACAGTATTTGTTACCCCTCTTATAAGGGAACGAATGGCCTGATAATTTCACCAGACTTCCTTAGTGTCCCAAACACTTCTCCAGGGAGAAATCCAGCCTACACATGGTCTGCCACAGTGATGAATCCTTTAAAGTCTATGTTAAGTTATTAAGCTTTAGCTCTAAAATATTCCTTCAGATGCTGGGGCTACCTGGGATCCCTATAAGGATCTGGGTAGTCAGGTTTTAGTTCTTGTTAATTCCAAGGTAGGAGGGAAGGAAAAAATTAGAAATGTTAGTTTGGAGGAATGTAGACAGATAGTAATAGAAACTGGAAGAATTAAAAATTTGGTATGGGTTGACAATTAAGGATCCAGTCCAATTTATAGGTAGGTACCAAAACTGGTTTTTCACAGTGGGAGGAAAAACTCAATTAAATGTGTACCAGACAAGACAATAACAATAAAAAAATAAAAAGAAAGTAGAAAGACAACATCTCTGTTGATACTATAAAGAATGAAAATAATATATATTGCATTATGCTTCTTGGGTTAGAATATTATAAAAATATAGCATACCCTGGTTTTTTTGACAGAATCTTATATTCACAGAAGCTAGGGGTTTATTTCTCAAAAAGAGTCATATAGGGGAAGTTTTGAGTATAAAAGCTCTAAGTGCTAAGCCTAGTGATTTTGTCTGTGCATTTTTACTTAGGCTAGATTGAGGATGGGGAATGAGTAAAGTTACTTAAGAAATTCAACTGATCCTTTCTATAGCTTGCTTAAATGTCCTCATTCTATGGTAGTGACTTCCCCCAGAGCAACTGGTCCAAGAGAGAAGGATAGCAAAAAAGAAACCAAAATACCTTTTATATCTTAGTCTCAAAAGTAAGACTGTCACTTTCTCTACATTCTATTCATTGAAAGCAAGTCACTGTTCTACCTAAGATAGGGTAACAGGGAGCAGATTTACCCTTGTGCCTGAAATAACCAAAAAACTGGACAAAACATATGAAAAACAGTTTTAAAGATTCTGGACAGCAGGCAGCAAAGGACAAAGCTCCCTGAGAGACAGGAAGATAGTGAGGTAAGACCTAGGTTTGTTCCTGCCTAGTGCCCTGAGAAAGTTTCCAAGCCACAATGCAGAGAGAAGGAACCTAGGGTAGTACCAATGGTCTCCCTGAATTAAGAAGATAGATGTGGGACTTCAGGGAGACCAATGCAGCTAGAGGATAAAGAGCTACATAAAGGAAAGGAGAGAGCTATATACAGAATTCTAAAGACCTGAAGAAGGTCCCTTGAGTATTCAGCAGAGTACTGATCATGACATGCATGTAAGGAAACTACCCAAGGCAAAAGAATGAACCACCTGGAAGGACTAGAGGCAAAAGTACCTGGCACTCAAAACAGGAATAGTACCTGTTCATATCAGCCACATTAGAAATCCTTGTAATTCATGATACATTGGGTAGAATACCCAGAAAGGTCTTGCCTTTCTATAAAGGCTATAAATAGCTTAAGATTTAGTGCTGCTCATAACTACCTAACATAAACACAAGATCTGAGGAATCAAACTTTTTCCAGGCAATTTAACTATCCTGAACAGAGCTCAAGAATATTTATAGAGATGGAAAAATGCCCAGCACCCAAAATTCACAGTGTCTGGTATTCAATCAAAACTTAGCAAAGAAGCAGGAAATGATCATCCATTATGAAGAAATAATTAATCAAAACTGACCTAGAAGTAACATAAATGTTAGAATCATCAGTGACATTAAGGTATTGTTATAACTGTATCCCATGTCTTCAAAAAGATCAAATGAAACTTCTAGAGATGAAAACTACAATTTCTGGCATGGAAAATACACTAGATGGATTTAATGGCAGATTAGACATTACAGAAGAAAATATTAGTGAACTTGAAGACATAAGAATAGAAACTAACATGAAACACAGAAAAAAATAATTATTTTAAAAAATGAATAGAGCATCATTGAGCTCTGGGACAACATCAAGCCCTCTAATATGTATGTAATTGGAATGGCCAAAGAAGAGCAGGGGACACAAAATTTGAGGAAATTATTTGAGGAAATAATGGCAAAAATGTTTCCAATTTTGATAGAAACTCTAAACCCACAGATCTAAGAAACTCAGTGAATGCCAAGCACAAAAAACATGAAGAAAACTACATCAAGGCACATCATTTCAAAACTATTGTTAAAGAGAAAAGCAACCAGAGAAAATACATAATACATACAGAAAAACAAAGATAAGAATGAGAAAAGATTTCTTGTTGGAAACAATTCAAGCAAGAAGATAATGAAATAACATTTTTAAAGTAGTGAAATAAAATACTGTTAACCTAGAATTCTACACCCAACAATATATCTTTCAAAATCCAAGTGGGACTTCCAGTTCCAGATAAGATTGAATAGACCACTCCTTGTTTATCTTACTAAGTACACCTAAGATCCCTGGATATTATATACAATATAAACGTAAGACTCTGAAAAGGTTGAAAGAAAAGACAAACTAGGGACTAAAGAACCTGAGAAATGACATAGCAGCGAGTTCCCTGGGTTTCTCTTGCCCTGTGTAGCCTGTAATAGGTGCTGGAAAGCCTCTGACCTGGAAACTCCAAAGCAGACCAAAACAACACTTCCCCCCACCCCAAGGCCGCCCTACTCCAGCCAGTCATCATGAAAAAAAAAAACTCCATCCATCCTCAACAACAAAGGCCAA